CCCTTCCCACACACCCCGCCCATGACTCCTGCAGGCTCTCACCAGTAACAAAGGAGTGAAAGTGAAAGTGAAACTTAAACTGTCTGCTGAGATACACTAGTTCTCACTCAGTGAAGCTCTTTTCAGATTCAAAATACCTTTGAGGAAATGTATTTTCAGATGCCAAGTAAACTCATAGCACACGCGTGAAACAACCCCGCCCCCACTGAAACGGACAGGACAGAAGCAGAAGGTGGTTCTTAAAGAGACAGAGGCCAATTTCAAGGCATTTAGAAGAGGAAGTGATGAGAAGATAAGTTTATTTTCTATTTAAACATAAAACACCATTTTAATAACAGCTAAAGGTGACATAGATACCGTACTTTACTATGGTACAGCATTTTAAAAAATGCCTGAGAAACACAAAATATTGGCCCTTTAAGAACAGTTCAATTAAAACCATTTGGAATTAAATGAGGTGGTAATCTTGAATTTTCAAATCCAGAGTGCTTTCCTTTAATTGTATGTGTCCCTCTAAAAACATCTTGGCCATACTTGCAACAAAAGTCTATCTCCACCCCTGTTCTCCTTTTCCAGCTCTTCTGGGAAGATTCCAGCAGGCCAGTCGAGAGACCTCTCTCCAATGTGTCCCTGGTCTTCCTTGGAGTCTCCTCCCAGTCAGACATTCATGAAGCACCTCCCAAGGGAGATGTCCAAGAGGCATTTTGGCCTTGGTAAACCACGTCCAGGCATTGGACATCGACTTTCTCAATTTTGTCGACCCATACAGGTGTTTCAAATTGTTCTTTGTTTAGCCTGTAATCTAAGACCAATCTGCTTTGGAAGACCCTACCAGGGGCAATTTTTATTGCCCCCAAAAACATAGCTTCTAGGATCATTCAGACACACAAACTCTTCCACCACAACAAGGTGGTGATCCAACAGAGGATCGTCAACTTATTGTGACAAGTTGTCAGAAATATTAGGAATWCAGATTTTTCTACTTTTCAAACTTTTTGTTAATCACACAGGGTTAACTACAAATAATCTTTGAGGGTGTCTGCAATATAGAAAACCAACAATATATTTATGAAGATAGTACATAAAGTGACATCTCACCTCTGCTGGAGAGGCGATGACAGACATATGGAGCCCATACTGAAATGATCCCCCGATTCCCAGAACCAGWACCAGCAGGTAAAGCCTCCAGTACTGCAGCTGGCAGGAAAAAGTGGACACTTATAAATGTTTCTGATTGAACACAGAGTGAAGGCTAGGTTCTCACARGTTGGATTTATTTTACATTATATTTTATAAATTTTATGTATATCAGATTATACCAGTTCTTGTTGTAGTTTAATCCAGATGATTAAAGTTAAACATTCACCAGTAACACAAAAGTGTCTGATTAAATTATTAATCTTTTTGTAGGGAAAATGTTTTCTAATTTTAAACAACAGACAGAAAAGAAAAACATTTCAGTGTCAAAATTTTAACTTTTCTAAAATAGTCTTTATTTGTTGAACTAGATGCTTCCTTGTGTTGTGAAAAACTTTGATTTCAGATGAAGATGTCTCATATTGTTTGTGGATTGTGTTTTTATCATTTGTTTGACTCCTCTGTGTTTGAATTTTTGTCATTAAATTCACCAGTGATTTGCATTTTATCAGTATAAATGCAGTTTTAGTTTTTCATTTTAATTAATAATTTTGACTGCTCTAATGAGAAACTGGATGCACATAAAGCAACTGATTTGTAAAATCAAAAGTAAGATCCTGCTTTTTTCATTGAAACTTAAGTTTCAGAGTCAAATTGGACAAAAATAGATTTAAACATAAAAAAATATAGAACAGTCCAGAAGAAAAAAGCAAGAATTATGTTTCCAATATTGACAAATGTATATTTGTTCTTGTTTTTAACACTCAAATCACAATTTGACAGATCTTAAGCCTAAATTTTCAGTATTTTGTTTATGTAATCTATCTGAACTCAAACTGTTTCAATGTAACAAAGTCCTCCTACCTTCTCTGTGATCAGCTCCATATTTCCTGCAGGCTTGTTGGGATTCTCGCTGCAGAAGCAGCAGAGCTCCGGCGTATTTGAAGGATGCCACAGGAAGTTAAAGATTGACAGATTTTAGTTGACCATTCATGCTTTTGGAACATCCACATGTTTTGACGTGAGCAGCAGGGATGGTCGAACACCGCTGTGGAAGTTAGAATCACAACCTGTCCTGCCAGTGGATTCTTTCCACAGGTTAGATACTATTTAATCACCAAATTGGGTCTAAAAATGACCGAATGTGTTCAGAAACTTAAAAAATTAAAGACAAACACAAGAAAACTGGACGGAGGTCCGATAATACCAATCTTCCTCCTTTTTGTTTTCCAACTTATTTCACAGAGTGTAAATTCTCTTAAAATAATGTTTTCTGCTTCTTCTGTTTTTATATTCAAGACATGACAATTTTAAAACTAACTTTGAACTGTTTTGCATGCTGTAAAATGCAATCATTTTCACAGATGTTTTCATTTTGAAATGGTACCAAATTTAAATAATAATAATAAAAAAAACTTCCATTTTTCTTTTTTTTTGACATGTTTCAGATACTCCCCCCCGGCCCTTCATGTGTGTGACATGCTACATATTAGTTTATTCAGTCTTTATCTTTGGTGTTTCTACAGACTTTTGATCTTCAGTGTAACATTTCTGTTATTTTTTTATAAGTTTTAACAAAGTGTCTCTGCCTAAATAAACAGTTTGATGCTGGCAATGATTATAATTAGTTTCAGCTGCTTCACAGTTTGAGATCATTTTGTTCCAAAGAGCGAAACATCTCAAACGCTTTCAGCTGAACTTATGTAAACATTCAGAACTTACTAGAATTTAGTAAACTTTTTTATTGATAGAAAATCAGTGAGTATTTAAATTAATTTTATTCTAATCAAAAACAAAAAGAAAATGGCCACAAATTTACTTACAAAACATGAGAAAACGCAAAGAGGCACCCAGACTGTGGCATATGAGCCAGCAATTAAAGTTATTATTTACCTCTCTGAAATGTCCAGTTATAAATTCAGAGTGACAGTATAAAACATACATACAAAACAATTATGAATAAAATGTATATACAGACATACCTCAACTGTTTTAATCTAATTACAGATTTTATAAGATTTATATATAAAAGTGGATTTTTTTTCACATTTGACAATAACGGACAAAACACATTTTGCTACAAAAACACAATTCTTTTTATGTCACAGAGCTTAAATATATATATTTTATATCAGTTTTTGTGTCTCTGATGACAAATGTTAAAATCCCAGTCAAAGTGGTTGAAGTGAAACTGACTGTGAAGAGGTTATTTTGGTGACAAACTGTCTACAAGGCCGTGGAAAGGCACACTTCTCCCAGCTGATACAGAGTCTGTGATTCTGAATGTTTTTCCTGGCCTTTAAAGTTCATTTTGTGGAACTCCTGTGTGATGGCTGACAGAGACTTTCCCTTCGTTTCAGGCAGAAACAGGCCGATGAAGAGTGCTGAGGACAGGCAGACAGCTCCGAAAGGCACAAAACAGTATTCTCTCAATCCACTCTGCAAGGAAAAGACAGATCTATTTATTCATCTAACAGGAGAGTTTTGCATTGTGCCTCTGGTTTGCACTTGATTCTAAATGATTTTAAAACTAGTCATGATTGTTTGTAATAATGACTGCGATCGATCCAGTAGTGAACGTACCACTAGAAACGGGAAGATCATCCCAATGATAAACAGGTTGAGCCACATCATGGAGCCAGCGACCATGTAGGCGGCTGGTCGAGCTGTTTGATTGAAGATCTCTGTGGGAAGAACGCCAGTCACTCCAGCTGGAAAAAAGAAAGTAGGAGAAAACAAGTTAATTTGGACCTGACCCACATTATATTGAATTGGGTTCATAAGAGTGGTGTGGCTCCTTTAAGAGTGCAGAAATAAAGTTTGAACCATTAAATGTTAAATCTGAGAATCCCTGGTCGACATCATGTGCTGCTTTACAGCTTAGAAAAAAAACATTTTGATTACATCACATTTCTCTGCAAAGACATTTTAATTACTATTTATAGATCTGGGCCCGTATTTATCAAACTTCTTAGAGTGGATTTTTAAACTTAAGTACTGAAAATTTCTTAAATTTGTTCCTACTCTCAAACTTAAGTGTAAGTGCCAGTTATCAAAATCCTTAAGTCTAAGAATCACTCTTCTCCCGAAAAGTTAAGACTGCTCCAGTGGTCTCTTAAGTGGTTAAAAGTTGCCAGTCGGGGTCTGAGATGGACTGAGAAGACATAGATCACAGCTGTGTCCTTCTCAAGAATACTCTGCACCACCTCAGAAACTACACCAAGTGGTCTGGGGTCCCTCACCTGAGTGTCAGTTTTTTTCTTCTTGGCCTTCAGAGGAGCAGGACGTGCTCTTCGCTCCCCCCACTCTCTGCTTTTTGCTTCTTCAAGCTCTTTTTTTCACCTACCACCCAAAACTAAAGGAATTATGGATTTGGTCAACTGGTCTCTGAATGCAAGTGACACTATTTTTTTCCACACTTGGAACGAGGGGAATGTGGCTGTCTGGGTGGAACRGWTGCTGCTGGACTTGTCTGACTCCTGGGGCTGGAATCTGATATGCCAGCACCACTTTCCATCGAAGACGTGGAAGATTAATATATATATTTGGATTTCTGATAACTGGATTCCTGCTGATCGGCGGAGGAGGGTTCCAGATTTATCGAAAAGTGAAAGCAACCCTGACAGTGGTTCGGGCCTTTGAGGAGCTGTCGGGTGCACTTGAAGGATTCTGCCTGACTGGTAGCACACAGACTCTGCAACTGGGGRAAAAATTTTACAAATTGGATATGATTCTGACGAGGATCGCAAACCAGGAGTGAGCCTCCAGCATGTAAGGATTACATTTGGGTGATGCTTGAGACAGTGAGAGGCAAGTAAGACCCCAAATTCAGCTGACTGTTTTATTTTTTTTCGACACTTCAGAATTGCGGTTAAGACATTTTAAAAGCAGCAGGAAATTCAAGGCTGCTTTATTCCAAAACAATCGGATTATCTACTTTGGCTCCCAGCGGCACGGCCTTGATGGCAGTGTTTATCTCAATCTCCCCAGGATGGAATGTCAAAGAGCTGGATTTGCTCCAAACCCCATCACCCATGTTGTACCTGCCCCCGGAACTCAACTGGCTGAGGAGGAGGAAACTCTGGACTCTAGCGAACTCAGCAGAGATGATGACATCATGTGACTGGACTCTGGAGGGGGCCAGGGTTGGGTCCTAGCACAGACCCCACCTCCCTCAACGTCACCTTCTCCTCTGAACCCGCCCCATCTTACCTCCCCCATATGTGTTGTTTGACTCCCAGCCCCCTCCCTTCCTTAATTGCCTTGCACTGATGCAAGCGGTTTTTTTGTGCGTATGATTCTGTGTTTCTGTGTAAACCCAGGATCAGAGCTTCTTTTTTTAACTCACCTTTCCTATTGTGTGTATTCCAAGCTGCAAAACGCACCGTCGTATGAAAGACCTTGGACATTCATTCCCCCATGTTTGTTATTTGTGTGTTTCTCCGGACGGATGTTCTAAACTACAATTTCGTTCTGCATTGCATCTTTGATGTTGTGTGTGAATGACAATAAATGATTCTGATTCTGATTCTCAGTTATAGTGTACAGAGGAGCTAATAAGGTGTGCAAAACAGGTTTAGTCATCAATACAAAAGAAAGAAGGAGATAAAAAATGATTACCAGCGCCATAATGTTGGACTAAAATGTAGATATTTCTGTGTGGCTTTTGGAGAGAATATTACTATCAGCTATTTACTATCAGCTATTGAGTGAAAACAGATGACATGATGCGGAGTTATTTTTTCCCCTCCACTGGTGAAGGTGGGATTTAACTTTTCTTTTATTATGATTTCTTTCTTTAACTCAAACTTCACAAAATCTGTTATTTCACATGAAAATTTTTTTAAAAATCTGTAGCGTGTGTGTGTGGGGTGGGTGTCTGCCAAGTGGTAGTTTGGGGAAGAGGGAGATGAGGAAGGTGCAAACTCAACGTTACCTCAGGCTCTGGGACATTAAAAAAAAAGAAAAATATACAGTATATATGCTGAAATAATCTGCAATATTTTCTTTATTCATGATGTAAATGAGAGTTTTATGTAGCCTAAATATGACAATCAGTACAACGTGACATGTATGAACATTAGTGTGTCGAATGTGAACTTATTCTAGGATTTTCACAGTTTTATCGTGACATTTCTCAGAATATTTTTGAACATGAAATCTGATGCAGTGATTGGTCCATGATTTACTCTTACACTTCGCTTAAAGTGAGACTGAGACACTTGATAAATGACTTTTAGGCTCAGCTTTTAGCTATGTTTTTACACGCAAGTCCATTCTTAACAGCATTCTTAAGAATTCTAAAAAGTTTGATAAATACGGGCCCTGGTCATTGCATTTAGGTATTCTTTTAGACTACATTGCAATAAAA